GAAGGACCTGAGTCCCACCTTTTCGACGCTACCACGCAATGGATCGTTAACCGTCACAGTCTTCGCGCAGCCCTCGCATACACCATCACACTTCGACAGAGCTCCGCGGCCAATCGAACCTTTTTCCTCGTCCATGCTGCTGATGACATAACCAAGCCGCACCATTGCGACCTAGATGAACCTGACGTTCGTCGCCGCTTGTTATCACTTGCCAATCCGCGCCGAACCGGTGACCTACCAGGCATTTTGCCCTGTTACATTGGTTGCCGATATCGTCTTTACTCTCAAAAATTGTGCGTCCAATTAGGTCTCATGAATGGAGCTCTGGTGGAACTGCTACACCTGTATCTCTCTGATCACGATCGAGACTTTGCAGCGCAACACCACGCCGGTGACCTCACAGTCCTCCGCCACCTCCCCCGCTGCCTCGTCCTGCGGGCCGTTGACGCTGTCTGGACCCTGCCCGACGCTTGCGTCGGCCATCTTCGCCCACACCTCGATGATCTGACCGGTGTGTTCCTTTTGCACCCACTTACAACCTATTTCCCTTACACTCTGTCTAGTCTGGTCTCCGTGCGCGTACGACGCACTGCTTTTCCGCTTCTCCCTGCCAATGTCTGCATCACCTACGCTGCTCAAGGCGAGTCCTGGCCCCGCGTCGTGCTTGACATGTCTACGCCGCCTCGAACTGACCCACATACACATTGGCTCTGCATGTACGTACAGCTATCGCGTGCCCGCAATCTCGATCAACTGCACGTGCTGCGTCTACCGCCGAGGACAGCCTTTGAGGTCGGCCCACCACACTATCTCCGGGACGAACTGTCCCGTCTCCACACATTGGAGACCGCAACCACAGACACTCTCCGAGCCTACCTCACTGCTATGCCTGACTGTCCCCCTTTCATTCGCGCTCTCTTTACCGGCAGCGCTGCGCCCTGCGCATCTCCCACTGGTAACACCTCGGCATCCACCTCCAATCTCCTCGACGCTATTCCTACCGACTTTACTCAGAAGAGGCCGCCCGCAGCTCCTGCGACTGTCGCGCCGCTGAAACGTTGCCGTTTCAAGCAACCAGTCTCCGCCTCCGAGCGCCCCCTCGTCAGATCCGCTGCCACCCCAACCGGCCCCGCCCGGCTCCTCAATCGCAGCAATACCTGTTACATCAACGCGCTACTGACCGCCCTAGCACAGTGCCCTGCCCTGCAAACGTGGTTGACGCAACACCTAGGCTGTCAAACGCACTTACCAAGTGTGTGCTGCGCTCCGGCACTTGCCGCAGACATCCAATCCCTTCGCAGCGAGCACGAACCTTTCCACCCCCGTCTTGCGGAGACCCGCGGCGCGTGGAATCCATCCTTCGCCAACTCCGACCACCAAGACGCACACGAAGCCCTCATGGCCATCCTGTCTAACCTTCACAGATGTGAGACACTTGCGTCGAACCCCAACCACATCCGAAACACACCTTTTTGGCTTGCGTTTGGAGCCGAGGCAAACCAAACTATCACTTGCCAAAGATGCTCTGCGTCGTGCAACACGACTACTCACATCTTACCATTTCACATCCCCGCAGATATGTGCTACGAATCCAGCAACAGCCTGGAAGCTCACCTCCAACAGAGCTCCGCCTCTGTTCCTGACCGATGCTGTCCCGAGTGCGGCGCAACCGGCGCATCCACGCAAGAGACGACAGACACGAACTGGCGCCGCACTGCTCATCACCATTGGTCGATGGCTCCAGCCCCCTGATGGTGGCACCATCCACAAAGACAGCCGCCCGATTCACGCCCCCACCACCGTTCATCTTTGTCAGAGAAGCTACCGTCTCTACGCCAGCGTCCTGCACGCAGGCACTCTCACGCACGGGCACTACACCACCGTCGTCTCTCATCCGACGCGAGGTTGGCTTCTTTGTGATGACGCCGCCCCGCCGCAGCCCATAGAAGATGTATACGCGGCTGCCCGACAACACTACATCCTCCTCTACAACCTCGCACCGACGTGAACATATACCATGCACACATACGCAAAAACACGCTCACACACACACGTCTCCTCAGACATACACACGACTCACTACTCATGCCCCCAGAAGGCCATCCAGGCCATCGTGAATACAGATAGCCAATTACAACAGGTCACTGCACTACCTTTGCACGCAGCTACCGCGACCACGCCGCCATGGCCATACCTCACATTGATTGCCCCGGACAATATAGCCGCGTCAGACTTGCGCCATATACTTCCTGACGACATCGTGCACGTGACGCCGTGTTACCCGCAGATCTACTGGTCTCTTCTCCTTTCGCGGACCTGGCCACATCGCGGACTGGGTTGGCATGCCTCCGAACTCAGTTTGTGCCAGTAATGGGAAGTGCTCCCGCAGCTACAACGGTACGTCTGCCACGCCTCATTGCTGCCGGCCGCTTGTCTCCACTTCACGGCCCACGATCGACAGGTCTCGGACAGCCATTTGCACCTTACAACCTCGCGGACCTGATCAACATCCGCCCACACCTCAGCATCTTTCCTGCGCTGGGAAGCAGAGCCAAGACCTCGCCACCAACAGGTACGGCGCTGCCGCCTTTGTCATCGTCGAACATATGACCAACAGCCCACTCCTCAGCTAGCTTACACTGAACCTCGTGCGCTGACGTTGTTTCACCCGCCAACCACATACCGCCGCCATTAGTGAGCAGATTCTATCCGTTCACGCCGTACACTCACGCCCTCGCCCGCCATGGCGCTTTCCCTCTTTAAGACGGAGCAGACCATTATCTTTCGCATCACTGCATCGCGCATCGAAGAGCAATGGCAGGAGCGCACCTTCGTCGCACGCCTCCTTACACGTGGTGGAGACGAACTTGAAATCACTGCGAACAAGGCCGGGACTATCGCGATCGGACCACGTTTAGAACCACCCCCTTGTTGCCGCACTTTTTTCGACCGTCGTCCGGGCAGGCAGCCTTCGAACAGTGGAAAGCCTTACCACATGGCGTTGCCCACAGTGTGCTGGTGAAGCGATCTTGTGTCCGTGCCTACAAGGGTCAATCCTACACCGGAATCGCCAGCGATCTTTGCAACTTGACAAGCATTCGTGACCCTATAAGTCTTTTTTTAACGTGTTTTTGTTCCCTGTTTCGATCCAACTGGTCAACTCTCGGCTAAACTGCTAAACTAAACTCTTCTAGTCCCGTCCCTTCTGTCACACCTTCTTCCCATACGACTCACTCCCTTCTATTTTTAACTACCTTCCACCTGCTGTTCCTCAGGCCTACGGTTTCAATACCGCACGCAAGTGCAGCGAGTCCTCGACGGCATCCCGGACACGATCTTAAAGCCACAACCCATCACTCCACCCGAACGCCTTGACCAAGTTGATGAGAACCAACCCCTCAACGTCGCCGGCATCCTCCAACACGTCGGACCGGCGCCGTCGCCGGTCAAACCGCCCGCGCTTCCAAGACGTACCATCTGCTTGCAATGGGGCGCCTGGACTGCACTGCAACATCGACTGACAACTCATATATATTTTTTTTTTTAAACCCCTATATACCACTGACGCACTCTTCCACCATTACCCGGCTACAGGTGACCAGACCATACCCATCGACATGGTTGGCAGCATGTCTGGAGCGACTTTCGAAACTGGACAACCCTTGCTGGTCATGTCGGTGCAGAAGCGATCGTGGATGGGCCTCATTTCCCTCGAGTCTTCCCGCCTTACGTGGTGTTTGCCGCCTCCCAGCTGGCTGAAGGCCCCGCGTCGACTCACTAATGTCCTTCATTCACCTTGCTTGTAGTCCAGTGACCTTATTTCATTTTAACCCTTCTTACCCCTTCTGCACGGACGAACAACATCCCAGGTACCAGAACCGAGCGCTGAGCGCCCCAGAAGGCTTTGAAGACCGCCGACTTGACGATCAGCACCATCGCAGCCGTGAAAGAGACCACTGCCGCCGACACCGCCATGAAGGTCCACGTTCACATCGTACCATTCACCGAGAGCCTCTTCCACATGAACATTTGGTGCGGCGACAACGGCGACCGCCTCCGTTTGCCCCTCCAGGTCAAGGACTCGACTGGTACGCTCACCATCACCGCTTGGCAAGACCTCCTGGCATGCTTCACGGACACGAATTTCGATGATCTGGCCACCATGTGGACCAAATGCGACAACGACGAGGCCGCTCAAACTGCCTTCCTCGAGACCCTCAACCAGAAGAACACCGCGGACACAACGTGGGAGGCCACCATCCGCCCACGCACATGGAAGAGTGACGTTCAGTGGACTGTTGTAGATTTGGTCGCCCTTGCGAAGTGATACTTCGGACGACCTCCTGCCCACACTCCATCTCGCCGTAAGCGCGAGGCATGTGAACGTGTGCGACCGACAAAAGATCTCCAATCAGCCTGACAGAGTTTCACCTACACTCCACGTATACACTAAGGTCACTGCCAGAAGCGACGCAGCGCCTGCTGACTGAGGCCAGAGTCACTGCCAGCAACCGGCGCCAGAGAACCCTGTTTCACACACACACTCACGCCTCAGGCCTCTAATTTTCGCACCTCCATCCTTGACGTGGGCTTTTCGTGCACACTTCTCTATGTGCATGTACCTACTCGTAGCCCTTAGTGACACACAAACACACACACACACACACCCCTCCAAGAGACCCGTAAGAAAAACCTACTTTGTCCCAAACGAGTGCTCACTGAGAGTCTGGTGGCCTGATTGATGCCCGTGCGGAGACCACAAAAAGTGACGCTGCAGAAACGCAAACGAAAACCATCGAAAGCCGTCGAACTCCGTCGACGTCCGTCGAAATCCGTCGAAATCTGCGGACCAGCGCTAGCTCCGCGCCCGCTCGCTTCTCGCTTTCCGTTGCTTGCCGGACTGGTTTGCAGACATGAAGATTCCCACATTCTTTTGGGAGATACGAATTCCTCTCGCTATCTGGGGCAAAAGAAAACATGTTGTTTCTTCTCCAGGCTTCCTCTTGCATCATGGGCACCGGCACTTCCACGACCTGCTCGACCTGCCGCCATGGGCTAAACGTGACGAGCACTGGCACTGGCACGTGTTCCTCCAAAATAGATCATTGGACTTGTGACAATGCCAATTCCCACTAGAATCGCCTCTTGAAACTTCGGGACCACTGGAACCTCCGACATGACACGACATGTGCGCCGCTGCAGACGCGGCCCACACCTGCTGTTGCACTTGGCGAGTCTGAGTGATCAGCTTGGGCACGTGGACGATCTCCTTTGAACGATCCCCCGTCTGTTCGAGAGTCAACTGGAGCTTGGGGTCACGACTTCTACGGAAAAGAACGACGAGGATCCGGAGAAGGCCGCAGGGGTCCCAGCCAGCGTTCGGATACCATGAGAGAACGGGTGCCAGCGTTCGGATGGCCGAATGTCCGGGCGAAACAATGAGAGAACTGACCCGCGATTGCGATTTCTAGACCCTCCTGAAACTGGTTCAAATCCCAGATGATGTCTTCGCTGAAGCCCTTGAGGACATACAAAATCCTCCAAACGCCCACCATCTTCTATACATACATATGTATATGTATATGTATAATATATAAGTATGCAGTATATATTATATATATATGTATATTATTATTGATTCGTATTCTATATATAATTCTATTAATCTTCTATTATATTCTAGAGTCTTTGCGATCTGCACGCCCACCTTCCCCGTTCAAGTTCAGCCGATTTGACTCACGCACGGCGTGAAAAAATCTCCTCCTCCTGCATAGGCACTGGGATCTCCACCACCTGCTCCTGTGGAGGTGATGCCTGTCGCCGTGGTCACAATCTTCGGAGTCTCAAGTCTGCAGGGATCCAAATGTGGGGGGGGAGACTTCACACTTGGTTCGTTCGGGGAGCTCCTGTCGTGGTTGTCTGTGGACACCTCGGTGTCGATGGGTTGGTCGGGTCGATTTTTCGGAACACGCATGATTGCCCCCCCAAGGGTTCCAAAGCGAAACCCACGGAGGATCTTTTCGGAATCTAACATCTGGGCCTCAGGATGTCCTTCTCCATGTATGGGGAATGTCATTCATGTGTTCCTTTTCCAAGTCGTGCAACCGTTTTTTTCACCATTGCCCGTCGGCAACCAACCAGCGTCACAGGTCGGCATGTCGACACCCCACCTGCGTCACAGGCACATCCACCTGAGTTGATGCAGCGGATCTAAGAGAAGGGCTGGCTGGCTGTGTTTTAACTTATTCACCTCTCTTCAGCTCAGTTCTCTCTTGAAGGCTCCTAATCTTCCTTTGAACTTGGGGCCATGCCACCCCATGCCACCGTCTCCCTGTGTCTCCCTCGCGCTTGGGGGCAGGATACGAAACGCGTCGCCCGCGCGCAGGGATCGCGCGCTCAGGTCGCCACGAATTGCTCGATGTGGCGGTGCTGCACGCGCTTTTGCTCGACGATCTGAGGCACCTCGCACGGAACGCCAAAGAGGACGGACGGAAACGGACACGTGCGAGAAGCAAACGGGGCCCGGGGGTTCAGTGACAACATGCGACAACTACAAGCACCACGGAAGGGTGGTGATTTTATGGAAAATGCCTCGGAAAGGGGGGTGTCCATCAACCACCCTTTCCTTGGTGCTGCAGATACTTCGAACAAGTACCTTTGGTCGTTCCCGGGTCACCGGGTTCTCCACGTCCTTTCGTTTCAGCGCAACGCTCGCCGTCGGCGCGTGCCGCGCGTGCTGAGTGCTGCCGACTGGGTCCCGGACATGCACCACCTGCTCGACGATCTGTTCGAACTGCTGCTGCCTCACTTCTGGGACCTGCGCGCCCCAACCAGGCGCGCACGCAATGGGGGCGCACTTTGGGCGGGACCGTGCATTAGTTTGGTGGGCGTGTTCCAAAAAGTGTTGGGGATTCCGCACTACCATCAAGCATGTTTGTTGACTTTTGACCATGATGTATTCTTGGAAAGCAAAGTTGATGACTTTGGTTAACCAAAGTTGACCATGTTTGTTGGCCATTGTTTGTTGACTTTGGTTAACCAAAGTTCTTGGAAAATTGTTGTTGACCACCGCCGCCATCGTCACCGGTCAAGTATGACCGGTCGAGTCTGTGGCGGACCCCATCACTTCTGACGGACATGCAATGCAGAATCCTTGATTCCCAAAGAACTGGAAAAGATTAGTGATTAGTGAGTCAGAATGGATAAGTGAGTTGCAAACTCCGGAGAAAAAAGAACACTTCAAAATCTTCCTCCGGGGCGGACGATGAGTGAGTCAGCTTTCGACGCACGAGGAGTGGCTGCTTAGCTGTTCGACTTCTGGGTTCATGGTGGGGTCCCAAACTCTTGCCAGTTGACGGAGGATCTGTTGACTGAAGACCGTTGGATCCAGATCGGTACTTGAGGCTTCTGTCCTGGCGACAACGCCCACCGACCATCGGCTCGGCCCGCTCGGCCCGGAGGGCGACGGCGTCGGGTCTCTTGGTCTCGGCATCTCTTGGTCTCTTGGGTGTTGGGCCGCTGAAGGAATCCGACCAGACCGATGTAGACGCGCAGGTCCGAGCACTCGACGCGAAGGAAGACGCAGAGGCAGAGGACGCGGACTGTTGCGTGGGGCAACTGTGGCGTGGACGGGAGACCCAGAAAACAAGGGTGTGTTTCGTTCTCCTCGACTTTCTCCTAGGGATCGACCGTGTCACCCTATTTCAATACACACGTACGTGTAGAAAAACTGCTCAGAAGAGTGGCTGCACCTGCGAGCCACCCCCTCACCCAAGCCGCCAGCGGCCTCCACAATCTTATTCACGTACTGGATCTGAGACGCCGAAACCGTCATTTGGCTTTCATCCAAACCGTCACGTGTGTGTGAGCACATTATGAGAAGGTAATCATCTGTGTGTAAAATTGCTTTGATGTAGGCACTCAATGCTTGAATGGATTTGCAATCAAAAGTATCGTAGACCTTCGTTTATCTGTTGTCAGGTCTTTGGGCAAGTAGAAAATGGGTAAAAATCGAAGCTCTTGCCTCAAATCCGAAGTCAACGTGAGCATCCAAAAATCCGGTCTTGGGATGTCTGGGGAAGACCTGAGCCTCAGGGACTGCCGGTCCAGCCTCAGGAACCTCCTGTTCCATCACGACCTCTTCCACCGTGGGGATCTCCGTAATCTGCCGTGTCGAGTGCGGCGGAGCGCGCCCGGAGCTCGGTGTCCACCGAGTCGGACGGACCGACCAGGCCGGGTCAAACGAACAGACCATCGGTTAGAGGAGAACAGGTGACAGGTTTGGACGAGGTTACAGCCTCATGGGCCTCATGCCTTCCTTTTTGCAGTTGCTGCTCAGCTAACTGAGGAAGAGTACTCTTAGTTTGAGTACTCCCCTAGCTACAAGTCTCTATGTTCTTGGAATAGACATGTCACTTACGCGTCATACAAGAACAAGTCACTTTGCCCTTGTCTCCACTCAACATCTCTTGCGCAAAACAGATCCCGGGCGGAGAAAATCCACACAGAGATCGCACCGATTACACCCTGGAAGACTAACATGGAGCCTCAAAACCCCTGGTTGGTAGAGGAAAATAGTCTTCCATGGGACCATTGTCAGGGTCTATGTTAGTCTTCGGGAGTGTAGGGTTATCTTTGGCGATTGGGACCGCCCAAAAGTGGTACCAATCGAGCTCTGTGGGGAGTCCCGTTCTGAGACCATGAGCGCCACCTGTGGGGGGTTAGAGACCATGAGCCCCCGGACCGGTCCCCAAGAAAGGTGCAAGGTGTGAACCTAACCGGGTTCAATGGATTTGCACCATTTTGCACATAGGGTCTCATGGACTACAAAGAATGAACGATAATGAAAGAAGGAAAGCTCATGGTCAAGATATCTTGGTTTGGAGACTGCTTGATATTCTCATGTTGAATCTGTCGAAGGACAGGAAAAAGATCATATCAATCAAGTGCTTCTCACAAACAAGATCCTCGTCTCTTTCGTCTCCCCTGACGTCTGCGCCATCCGCGCAGAAGGTGCGCGGTCCATCGACTTCAGCCAGGGCGCCTTCTGCTTCACCTGGCCAGCCACCACCTGCTCCTGGCGCTGGATCATGACCTGTGCGCCGTGCCGCATCCGGAGTAAGTCTCCCGAAGGTCGGACGTCCACGGAGCACGGACCACGTCCCCAAGCCCTCTGGATTCACCTCAAGGGACAGGACAGCGCGAAGGCGCTGAGGGAGATGGCCAACAAACGGTAGCACCCAGGAGGTGTTGAAAAACGGCTGAAACCTCCTGGTCATCGTCACCGAGCTGTTTCCAGCCCGCGGAAAGGTTCGCCAATCCTTCGACTGAACCTAGTGAAGTCTCCACTTCTGCATCCAACTTCGACCCACACAAAACGACGCCCAGGATATTTTTTCTTCAAACAGCTGTACGGTCTAGCCGGTGGCCTGGGTACGCCCAGGAAAAAACAAAACAAAAAAGAGAGACACCGCAGCACACACCGCGCAGAGCGTGCGCCTGCGGGGCGGCGTTCACCTCGCTGCCCACACCGGCCATGTACTGTGGCTCCCCATCCACCTGCAACGCCTGAAACTGCGCCGCCCACTGCCTCGGAGTCCACCAGCGAAAATGCGGGGGTTGATGACTCAAAGCTTCGCTGCTTCTTGAAGTGGGCGTGGACCGCAATTTAAGAAAACACACAGGATTGGAGAATTTTCGGGGTGCAAAGCTGTAGATTTGAGGTAAGGGGCAACAAGCGCGTATCCAACTTCTATGGTGAACAACATCGCCACCAAAGTTGGACCATCCAACTATGCTCAGGCCGCTCAGGCACCCTCCCACTGATCGCTAGAGGTCGTGAGTGCATGTTGGATTAAAAGTGCACTGGGCGCTTCTGGGCCTGTGAGCACAACAGTGCTGAGTAGCTCCTGAAAACCCCTCGATCCGGTGTGGGTGCTGAGTCTTCACCCCAATGGCATAAACTCATAACCCCCCCCCCTCGCCCATCTGGATGACAATTACTCAAACCCCCCTACCTCAAACCATTCGGAAGACCCCTCCTCCCCTCATCGCTGCTCCAAGCCACGACATGGTGGCCTTCCCAGGGTCTGCCACGCTCTCCACAGGGATTTTGATCTGGTCGCCGTGGTCGGTTTGGGTGTTGGAATGGGTCAGGCAAATACTGTAGATAGAACTTTGCCAGAGAATAGTCCTCCCTGGATGAAATGGCCAAGAATTGCCTCGTGTTTTCATCTTTTGTTACATCACTCTGTCAAGATGCGAGAGAACTTTGCCAGGCCCATCAGGCACCCCAAGCCATCAAGAAAGCCATCAGGCAGAAGTTGGACGGTGGATTCGGTGGATAGATCTGTCATCTTCATATCTACAGTCCTCCTCTCCAACGACAGAATCTTAAGAAATCACACACCAAAAAAAACGACAACAATTTAGAGCATAACTAGCATGAAACCATCAAAAGCATCACCATCTTCCTATCCCTCTTCCTATCCTCCTCTCATAATTGCATCGTAAAACAATCCTCTCCTCCTCCTCATCCTCCTCCGCCTCCTCACCTACTCGCATCCTCCTCGCCTGTGTGACCGGTCCCATGATCGTCTGCAACGGGGAACTCCTGGGCTGCGGCGGAAACATCTGCGTGGACACCGCCGTCTCCACCGCGGTGGTCGTCGTCATCGTGGGCTCGCCAATGGGCTCGGCCGGCGTGCCGGTGGCCACCGGCGCGGGAGAGGCCTGGGGGGGGGCGGGGCGACCGGCTGAACGGTCGGTAGATC